CTTCCCGGCGGATGTACTATTGGCCGCTCTGTTAATCAAGTCAATTAAATGTTTTGCTTAAACACGTGTGCCGCTTCTCTGGCACAAATCTGCCACTCAAAGCATCATCGTCAAACTATTACTCAAATATAAACAAATAAAATGTTACACAATATATATATAAATATATATTATCTGTAGTATAAGAATGCCGTGGTGGTGAGATGTTAACTACCTCGTCTGCTGTGCAAGAGGTCATGGGTTCGATCCTGACCCTGAAGCCTGTATATTTAGAGTTTGCATGTTCTCCCCGTGGTCGCATGGATATTTCTCAGGGTCCTCCGGTTTTTCCCTCCACATTTAGAATGAACACCACGCGTTTAGAGTATTTGGCTGCTATACATTTCCACGTGATAGCCACTTCGTTGAGCTATCCATTTGTGGCCACGTTGCTTTTGAAAAAGAGCGATATAGCTCAGCGGACCTTACTGGTAAAATAAAAAGTTTAGTTCAGAAATATATTCTTGACCGTCATCCATCATTATCATCCACTAACATAGCAACACACGTGCCTCACAGCAGACAGCACATTTCAGACATTTTCAGGCAATGAATGAGCTTCTATACACGTGGGAGGAAGCCGGAACACCCGTAGAAAAGCCGCGCGCGCGCGAGAGGGACGCGCGTGTCCCCGCCTTCGCACCGCTGACGTGGCCCCTCTCCGCTCACACAGGTCCCCGCGAGGTGGAGGTGAAGGTGGCCGGCTCGGTGGGGCCCTACGGAGCCCACCTGCACGACGGCTCCGAGTACACGGGGGCCTACGTGGACGCGCTCTCAACGGAAGTGCGTGTTGCTCTGCTCTGCGCTGCGTCGTGTCCACCTTATGCTATCACCTGCTTCCCCCCGTCCATGTAGCCTGCTTCGAATAGGCAAGCAATCGGACAGGACGCCCCATTTCATTGCTTGCCGCAGGGCCCATGCCGGCAACGCTACCCCACTGGTGCTCGTGCGTTGAGTGAGAGTCTTCGGTTCTACTCGTCAGTTAGCTTCTTAGAGCACTTATTGAGTGTGCAGGCAGTGCAGCTGCACCGGTAAGTATGGGCTGGAGGGTCTTGGGCACTCGGCTACGGGGGGGGGGGGGGGGGGGAGTTGGGGGGGGTGGCAACGCATTGCGCTGCTAGCAACACGTTGCGTCACTGGGGACAGCGGCCGAGCCTCTGGTGCCGGGGGGTCCTGAGCGGCAGTGGCGGTGCTGACAGCCCGTGTCTCCCACGCGCCCCAGGAGCTGATGGACTGGCACCGGCCGCAGGTGTCGGCGCTGCTGGAGGCCGGGGTGGACCTGCTGGCCCTGGAGACGGTGCCCAGCGCCGCCGAGGGCCTCGCGCTGGTGCAGCTCCTGCGGGAGTTCCCCGGGGCCTCCGCGTGGCTTTCCTTCTCCTGCAAGGCACGCGGAACACGCGACGCGGAACACGAGACGCGGAACACGCGACGCGACGGCACGACACACGTGACGCAATTGCATGTCTTGATCGGTGCTGTGCATAGACCACACGAACTATGAAGACATTGCACGTGACCCCGCGTCGCACCCCACGTTGACCCCATATCTTCTCCTACGTGACCCCGTGTTGCGCCCCACTTTGACCCCTTATCTTCCCCCACGTGACCCCGTGTCGCGACCCACTTTGACCCCATATCTTCTCCCACGTGACCCCGTGTCACGCCCCACTTTGACCCCATTACTTCCCCCACGTGACCCCGTGTCGCGCCCCAGTTTGACCCCATCACTTCTCGCACGTGACCCCGCGTCGCGCTCCACTTTGACCCCATATCTTCCCCCACGTGACCCCTTATCGCGCCCTGCAGGACAGCCGCCACACGTGCCATGGCGAGGAGTTTGGCGAGGTGGCGCTGGCACTGGCCGCGCGGTCGCGGCAGCTGCTGGCCGTCGGGGTGAACTGCTGCGACCCCGAGCTGGTGGGCGACCTCCTGGGTGGCGTCGCCAACGCCAAGGGCTTCGACAAACTCCTGCTGGCCTACCCCAACAGCGGGGAGCACTGGGATGTGCAGCGAGGGTGCGTGCCACACCAGCCTCATGGGGGTATAAATCATCATGGGTACACCACAGCATGGACACACCAGAATCACACCACACCAGGGAGACACCACTGCTGCTACTGCTGCTACGACTGCTGCTACGACTGCTGCTACTACTGCTAATGCCACTGCTGCTTCTGCTATTCCGTGCATTCCTTCCGCAGGTGGGAGCATAGACCGCGCAGACCCACGCTGGCGACGTACAGCCTCGCGTGGAGGGACCTGGGCGTCTCCTGGATCGGTTCGTGCGCCCACCGTCCCGCACGCGTGCCGGCGATTTGACCCACCCGCCGTGCAGGCCTCCTACCCACCCTCGCCAGCGCTGCGGTGCCCGCGTGCCGGCCGCTTGCGTCAATCCACTGCCGGACGAGGGCCTCCCCCACAACCGTGCGGGGGTCGCGAGGAGGGTGATTTGACCGTAGCGGACGGCGCCAGTCTGTGTGGGTCGCTGAACGCAAGGAGCATAGATGAGGGAGCTTTGTAGAACGGCGACGGAATGGACCTTTGCAGCCCCTCCCTCTGCTGCCCACGAGGTTGCGCCGCAGCAGCCTATAGCACCTGTTGCGCACGGTACTCACCCATCCAAGCACCCACCCAGGCCCAACGCTGCTTAACTACGGTACAGCAATCGGTGCGCTAGCTTCTGCTGACAACTGCAGTCCAGTGCCACGAGGATTCACACGGAGCACGAACGCCACCGCAGCAATTGCTCCTTGCTCCCCGTTTGACTCGGGCCTCCACTGAAGCCTCGTCAACCCCACCTCCCCCCCCCCGCTCTGTTTCTTTAGCGTGTTTCTATGTTCTCCCGTGTCGATCGTTGTGTGTGTGACTTGTGTGTGACTTGTGTGTGACTTGTGTGTGTGTGTGACTTGTGTGTGTGTGGGACGTGTGTGTGTGTGACTTGTGTGTGACTTGTATGTGACTTGTATGTGACTTGTGTGTGACTTGTGTGTCTGTCTGCAGGCGGTTGTTGCCGGACGGGGCCTCAGGACATCGAGGAGTTGAGACGCACCCTGAGGCCTCAAATGCAGCCGCCCAGCACCACTGCCTGAGCTCCTCCTGCCTGGGCCTCCTCCCCGCCCTGATCTCCCAACCTTAGTTTCCTAGCCTTGGCCTCTCATCCCAGGTCCCCCAGCCCTGGTCTTGATATCACAGGTCTCCCAAACCTGGTTCTGCTATTCCAGATCTCCGAGCCAAAGCTGGTGTCATGAAACTCCGCACGGGCACGGAGCTCTGTGCTCGACTTGGCAGGCTCTGACAGAAGAACGTTCAGTGCATGTGTTGTGTTACCCTAATTTAAATTAATTATTTGCCAAAATGTGAATGCGTTCGACGTTCGTGCACGGTTGCGTTAAAAGAGAACAATGCCAACGCTGCCTTGAGTGTTCGCAGTGGAATCGTTTAAATAAACATATCAGAAGCGTGCGGGGCTGTGGTGTGAGAGTTTTAATAACACGGCCTATACCAGGCATTGTGGTGATATTAATCAACATCCCCCCCTCCCCCAGAAAAAAATGTATTTTCATCAATTGACTAAATCGAGGCATCCCTGGATGCCCGATCCATATAAAACCCACAGTTGTAATGATTCGTCAGGTTTATACTGCCCACTGGTGTCCAATCCGAATAGACTGGACAGACCAAGGAGCCGGCACCGGGGCAGCATTGTAGCCGTGTGTGCAAGCTCAGCCGCCCGGCTGGGTCGCTCACTCAGAACGACGCGCTGCACGTGTGCACGTTGTGCTTCTTTTGCACCGTACGTAGCCAACCGTGATCCGACTAGCACGGTTGTGTACGTGCGGTGCCAAATAAGTTTAACATGAAATTGGAGGTGCCGCAACGGAGGACTTTCTCTCTCGACTTGCAATGTTCTTTTTTTTTCTTCTAGATTTGAAGCTTTCGTGACTGCAAGGATTCATATTCTTAGGTTTTTTCGGTAAAAATAAAATAAAATTCACGACGTTTCGGAGGCAACATGATTGCTGTATCGCGCTGTGACGGTTCCACCTGAAAACGGAAGCTTGTGTTGCCTCCGAAACGTCGTGATTTTTATTTTACTTTATTAATTTAAATTTTTTTACCTACGTGACTTTACCGAAAAAACCTAAGAATTGCAATGTTCTGCTTCGCCAGACGTCCAAACCCCCGCGCTCTCTCGCGTGTCAACGCTCACAAACCACACCGTAACCCTGCGAGGACATTATTACCTCACTATCCGTTCCCGCATAACGCCCGACTCGATGAAGCGACTTTGCAGACCGTGCCCAAGGCCGAGCTGGCCCAGGTTTGGGAGCTGCTGTGGTAGAGCGTTGCACGGCCACGCTCGTGCACGGTCTTGTTGGGGAGGCTCGACACGTGTGGGCGCCTACGCCCTAGGTAAGCGCCCACCCCACCGTGGGATATTTGTAAGCTAGCCGACGGTGTAAACACACCGTGTGGGCCAATGTCGGGGATCATCTCGGACCCTCATCGCCGACCGGACGAGAGAGTGACTTGGAGAGCGGCTCGGGCTCCTGCCCTGCCTGTCTTGTCCACAACTCAAACGTCGGCCGTCTCCCGCTGCTCAAATTAGCAATGAGATTGGTGCTCATCTGCCGTGTAGAGCCCTGAGGTCTGTGGTGGAAATTCCTCATTTCTATGGCGGCAGCAGCGGCGAGTCTCTCCATTGGACAACCGACAAAATTCGTCGTCATTTTAAGAGACACCAGTTGAGACGATGGATTGAGTCGCCTCTCCCCCTTCAAACCATGAAATCGCAACCCTCTGGTTGCGAGCCACCGGCTCTACCGCTGAGCCACCTGGGCTGCCGCTCTCCTCTGTGGTTGGTGTCGACGCAGGGGTCACTTTGCTCGTTGTGTTCGGAGCAAAAAGTGGCCTCCTAAACACGCATTCCAGACAGCCATTAAATGCAAAGTGTCGGTAAGTTTCAATTCAGAATTTATTTATTTTTGACAGTAGTACCCTTGCATACATAATCTGAAGAAACGCTTCGTTTTTTGATTACACTGATGATTTTTTTAAGTTTAGTACACTTTTTGGCTTTAAAAAAAAACAACTGATCATGACGACCGATAAAACATTCCACGTATTCATTACAACGGAGGAAATAAACCCGCAAGATCACCTGACAACAACGCTATCGATCACGTCACACCTGTGACGAGAGAAGTTTTACATCGAGACTCCTCTCTGCAGAAAGAGCACGAGACAATCGCGACGTCGCGCAAACAACGCACCTCGAGCGGGGGGGGAGCGGGGGGGGGGGGGAGCGGGGGAGCCGGGCCACTCAGGGCATTCAAGTCCGGGCGAAACACGAAATTAACCCAGATCGACCACAGCGAATGTAATAACCTCCCTCAACCACAGTTCCCTGCTCAACTCGCCACTCCCTGCACCAGCCTCCCTGCCCTAACCCCCTGCTCAATCACAATTCCTTGCATCACCCTCCCTGCCCAATCACCACTCCCTGCACTCCTCTCCCTTGCGGCGAGTCACTGCACTCTTCCCTAGCCGCACTGTGCTCAGCCTCCCAGCCCTAACAGACCGCACACCGGTTGTAGCTGCAGCGGTCTGGGGAGTGCAGTCGACCGGTCCGTCCGTCCATCCGTCCGCGAGCCTCTGTAAACACAACGCTGCGAGCTGGGTGCAAGTGTGTGTCCCCCCCATGTACATGCGGTACGTTTATCAAACGTCTCTCTTTTTTTTTTGTTTCGGATGTACGAGCGAGTCACGCCGGAGCCGTGCCAAGCCAGCCCGGCGCGCGTCGGGAGGCGCCGTGCTTTCCCACCGCAGAACCCCCGAGCCGTGCCGGTGACACGTCCTTAGCCCTGCACCCTGGCTCTGCTTGGGCCCCGGTCTAAAAAATGCAGACGTCTTGGGGAGGACCAGCAGTGCATCACTGTTTGCTTTGGGCTCTGCACGGCAAAACTAAAAGAATCCGGTGGAAAAATCACCCCCCGCGCTGGCCCGGCTCCAACGTGCCAGCGGGAAAAGGGGTGAAATTGTCACCTCTATACAAAGCAGACTGGTTACGACGGTATTTTGCTGTAAATAAGGCCCTCAAAAATATGTATTTCAATATGAAATGTTTGCCATGCTCCGAATGTGGCAAAAGCCCTAATGTCCTGTGTGTGAGTGTGTGCGTAAGGTGTGCGGATGAGTGAGTGACCTCCCCCCCACATATGTTCACACAGTGTTTCGATTTTTTTTCTGCTCGAATACTCCATTCCCCCCCCGCATCTTATCAAGACACCGCTTGACTCTGTGCTATAGAAACCAAGTCGCGCTTCTTCGCGAGGGGAGGAACGACGTATGGGGCGCGCGTGGCTTCGGACCCTGGGGTCAATGACAATCGTAGCTTGTGCCGTCCGCAAGGGATTGCGATCGCGGATTATATAAGACCCTCGGCAAAGTAAGACGCACGCCAAATTCGTAGGCCAATCGAGTTGCGCAAAAAAACTGATCTCACTTAACACACGCGGCACACCTACCGGATTAATCCTAAGACACACCCACCCCCCACCCCACCCCACCTGCCCAGCTTTTGCTTTGAAATACAAGCAAAAAGGTGTGTCTTATAACCCAGAGAATGCGGTAATTGTAAGTGCTGTGGATCTTATAATTGAACTTAGGTCCAATTGTTCCCCCCCGCTGCTACCCCCCTCCTGAATCTCCTCCCTTCCAGGATGGGGCCCCTACACGCTCCCATGATGACACAAGGACCGCGCACAAGACAGAGCACGAAAAATCCAGTGTCCGATCGGTGCATCTGCTCCGCAGCCCTCTCCCAATGCGCGCCCACTTTCTCCTCCACCACTCCGGCTCAACGTTTAGACCCACACTTAGCTTAGCGAGCTCGGCAGCTCATTATTAAGTCAGCATAGTGCATTACTCAAAACATCTACGGTACTCTATTTACATATAAAAAAGCGCACACACTCACATACATACACGAAACGTGTCATGTCAACCGGCACGAACCGATTACAAAAAGATACAACGCACGAGACCAGACGGGCGGCAGGAGGGCTGCAGATGGGCCAGGGCGCACTGCGCGATGTCACCTTGTGCAAGCTGGGCCTGCCGACGGCAAGGATAGCCGTGACAGAGAGGCGAGAGAGGCCAGGCTGTCGACTCCGCCAGACAAATACCACTCACGACAACAAATCCCAACCACGACCCCAGACCAACCCCACCACTTGCTGAAAACCCCGCCAAAAACAAAACCGTGTCAAAACAATCCGTATCATTTTGTGACGACACCTGGCCTGGACTAGTGCCGTGACCTATGCGGGAATCGTAAAACGAGCGAGCTTCCTGGATTCCATCCGACTACCCCGGCAGCACTGGCCACGCTCTCTCGCTCGCAACGGCGGCGTAGCGTGGCGCTGTCGGGGCACGGGCGCCCGCCCTCCCTTCCGTTACCTGGCGCCTGGACCCCTCCAGCCAGCCCACGGGCTCCGGTGCAGCTGCATCACCTTCACACTTGACAGCTCGCTCGCTCAGCCGGGGCTCGCAACAGCAAGCGGCACGCGCGCGCACATCAAACAATACGTCCTGCCGTTGTCTTCACCAACACTGTCCAGCAACAAGAAACGTTGCAGAAGGCTTTGCTCAGAGCAGACAGAAGTAGAGCCATTGCCCAGAACGTTAGCCTACGGTGTTTTGTGTTTAAATGATAATACAGCGTTTATGAATTTAATTAAATGTTTTGTCCTGTGCTTGTAAAAGACACACTGCAGACGCAGTCCTCTAAGGCCCAAGACGCTCGTTTCGCTCGTGCCGATGATCCCAACCGAGATCTTCACCTCCCACCACCCGGGACGCAGCCGCTTTACGTCCCGCGCTTGTGGGTGTTCGCGGCTCTGTGCTCAACGCAGCGACCCTCTCGAAAGTCTCTCGCGGAACTGCTATAGTTCAGCGATCGCCTCCGACCGCTTGAGTACCGACGGCGCCACATTGAGCGAGCGGCAATCGGCTTACGCCACTCAACGTCACGGTTGCGGCGCGCGGATGCAAGCACGCTCCACATGCGATGGTTACCGAACGACGCTTAATCCTCCTGGAGGCATCCACTCCCAACTGGCGGCGACGTTGGCGACAATGTCGCCAACGGCGGGAGTGCTGCGCCGGTCGTGTGTACGCGGGGGGTTGAGCTTCAAGCCATGGCCGGGTCTCGGCAGCGCGGCTGCGTTCATCGCAACGACCGGCATGCAGCCAATGGCCGGGGCCACCCTCTCTTCTCCCGTGTCGCCTCGGCTACAGCTGCGACAACCGTAGATGCGGAATCAAACGCCGTCTGCTGCTGCTGCTGCTGCTGCTACTGCCGCTGTATCTGCAGCGAAGCCACTTCTGGTGCCCCGGTGTTTCCGAATCGCTCCCCACCCCACCCCCACCCCGACCGAGTTAAATCTCATCTGGCGCCGCCTCAACGTCGATTGAGAGTAGGCATGCAACGACGCATCAATTCATCCCGGACGCTCACGAGACACGGACCTAATCGTGGGTGCGACAATGACGTGCGATTTATGTAGATGTATGTGCGAACGATATTCAAATGTGACACTTAGACTGGCGGACTGGACAGAAATGTACAGACGAGACCAAAACAAATGATATGAACAAGACTCGAAATTCCGAGAAAATTTTTTTCTTGATTTGAACCACGATCGCAACTCGTAATAATTCATCAAGTCCCTCGGGACGAGTGAATCATTACATGCCGACTGAACTGGAAAGGACACTTAATCAACCGTTTTCTTATTTTTAAACGCCACCGTCGCCCGTGCATTACCGCGGGGGGCACGTCGCGCAACACGGCGACACGTCATCCACATGCCACCGCCGAAGATCGCGATGCGCGGCCGCTTCCGGCGGGGAGTCATGTGACGAGGGGGGCGACGCCACCGATCGGGGGAACTTGCCGAGAGCTGCGACGATTGGACGACGAAGTCGATTTGTCAAACTGACATTTCGCCTCTACTTGGTGGTCGATGATTAAAACATTTTTTTATCAGCCGCACCTAGAACGTGCCACCCACTTGAAGGTGGGAATCCCCTGTAAGCCACACCTCGTATGACGTGGCGAATGATGATGTCACCAAGCCCCGCCCATCATCTCCGGTCACGGGTCATACACGGGGAGCAGAGGTGAGCTTTTCTTTCTTCTTTCAACTATTTTCATGATATCTGACAAGACAGAGCGACTGAACTGAAAATTTAAATAGCGATCAATTACTTGGATAATTGTATTACAGGCCGGCTCTGAATGACGTAACCTGCCCCCATCATAAAGCTGACGACATCCCATCATACCCCGAATGCTCCCGATCGCATCTCGGGAACGAAGGAGAGTTAAACCCGGTGACAGTACTCGGTCACGAGACCACTTTGTGAATCCAGGGCGTCGTTAAGACTTGGGCCGTGATGCCGGCCAGGAGACGTCAGCGCGGCGACTGGGTTCTTAATAACCCAAAAGTACGACGTCGCTCAAAAGAACTTGTCGTCGATGCGGAAGTGCGGCTTAGTCACGTCGTCCGGGTTGATGAACACCGAGATGGACTTGCCGGGGTTCTCCGTCACCAGCTGCTGCAGCTTCTTGGCCAGTCGGTCGTCCTGCCCTCGGATGTCGGCCAGCGCCCCGTCCGACTGCGATCCCGGCAGGCCGCCCGACCCTCCGCCGGCGCTGGCGGCGGTGCCGCCGGCCGCGGCGGCGGCGGCCGCTGCGTGCGCCTCCAGCCGCACGGCGTTGGCGGCCTTCACCTGCTCCACGGCCGTCGAGAGGTGCTCCACGGGGTCCGATCGCACCGATGAGAGCTTGCGCGCCAGCAGCAGCACCGTCTCGTCGGTGAAGTGCTCGAACATGTTGCACTGCGGGATGAAGTAGTTGGGGCACGACTTGTTGACGAGGCAGTGCAGGACGTCGTCCAGCAGGCCCAGCAGCAGCGCCGCCTCGTTGCTCTCCTGGCCCAGGAAGCTCGAGGGCAGGCGGTCGCAGGCCCAGAGCACGACTGAGCGCAACTGGTAGGGCCCCACGGCCTGCGGGCGGGACAGCAGGCGCAGCACCATGGCCTTGCACGCCTGGAAGGCCTGCATGAAGGGCGTCGGGATGCACTTCTTCATCTGCACCTCGCTGCGAGCGAACGACAGGCGCCACTCGTTGTCCCGGCAGCCGCTGGGCGACGAGGCGGGCACCAGGTAGAAGCCGCCGATCACCTCCTCCTCCGTGATCTTGCCGTCCCAGAAGTGGTTCTCCATGAGCCAGCTCTGCGCCACAGCCGGCCAGCCTGCGCCCGGATTAGACCGAGGAAGTATAGTCACGCACGACAACGCTTACGTTATACTCTCCAACATGCTGCTCGTGCTTGGTTACTGATGTTACGACAAAAACACACAAGGAGCGAGAATTGCGCAAAGAAGCAAGGAGAAATGCACGCTTGGAATTACACTGGGAAAGAGGGAGACACATGGAGTACAGAATGTAAGCAAGGGAATGACAAAATTCAAACTGTTTAGGAAAATAAGTGGGCATGTCAATTAATTCTGGAATTACAATATCCGTTGGTGTGATCTCATAACAGCTGGGATGTTTGGTCACGTGACACTGGTCAGAGCGCAAGACCTCACCCCTCCAAGCCAGCTGGTGAGATAATTTTATGCTGCATATGAATGTATCCGCATCTTAAGATGCTGTTCAGAAACAGTGGGCACATTTATTTATATAGACAGTGATTTGTCTCCGTGAGAGTCTATGGGTCTCTGCGTAAGTCTAAGGGACTGCTTGTATGCCTCCGAGTCCCTGTGTAAATGTACGAGTCGTTTCTATGTCAGTATCTGTGTCTCTATGTGATTATCTGCGTGTCTCTATGTGAGTATCTGTGTAGCCATGTGAATTAGTAAGTGTCTGTGTCTACGAGTATTTGCATCTCTCTGTGTGAGTCTGCATCTCTCTGTGTGAGTCTGTGTGTTTCTGTGAGTATCTGCGTGTCTCTGTCAGTATCTGCGTGTCTCTACGTGAGTCTATGTAGTTGTGTGACTATGTATCTGCGTGTCTCTATGCGAGTCTGTCTGTGAGTATATGCTTGTCTCTACGCGAGTCTATGTAGCTGTGTGACTATCTGCGTGTCTCTATGGGAGTCTGTCTGTGAGTATATGCTTGTCTCTACGTGAGTCTATGTAGCTGTGTGACTATGTATCTGCGTGTCTCTATGCGAGTCTGTCTGTGAATATATGCTTGTCTCTACGCGAGTCTATGTAGCTGTGTAACTATGTATCTGCGTGTCTGTATGGGAGTCTGTCTGTGAGTATCTGCGTGTCTCTACGTAAGTCTATGTAGTTGTGTGACTATGTATCTGCGTGTCTCTATGTCAGTATCTGCGTGTCTCTACGCGAGTTTGTGTAGCCGTGTGACTCTACGCGAGTCACCTTTGAAGGAGACGACGGGGACGATGTCGTAGAGGATGCGGCTGCTGCCCACGACCAGCACCATGGACACGAGCGTCCCCTTCTGCTCCACGCGCTCCACACGCGGCATTCCCCTCTGAGGCTTCCGCTGCATCTCGCCTGACGAGACGGCGCCAGCGATCGAGGGACGGGAACCGTCGTTACAATCGGATTCACCGTCGCAGAGAGCCGCGCAGCTCTTACCAAAGCACAGAGATGGCGATGTCACGATCGCGGCGCCGTCGTCGCTGCGACGGCACGATGCCGCCGTCACGGCACCAGCGTTGCGGAGACCCAAACCGCGGAGACGATCGCAACACCGCCACCGCAGAGAGCACGAGCACAACCTCACCATCACATCCCAGAAGCACCGTCACAAGCCTACGCATACGACATCATGGCTGTACCGCTGGGAGGGCAAAAGACAGGCATACAGGAGAACCTGAATACTGGTGGTGCCAGGCTAGATGCACTTGGATGCCGTCACGTGAAGTGCAGAAGGTTTTTGCTGTCGGCAGGCGGTTACGGGACAGCCCCGGGTGCTATGGGTTTACTGAGATGACTGACAGATGCACCAGCTGCCGCTCCCTATCGTGCCAACTTGCTGAGTTTTCAGCTGCCCAGCGCTCTGGAGACGGGGCACGCACACTCACGCAAGCGCACGCACAAGACGCCCGCACGAGTCGCACGCACGAGTTGCACGCGTCACACGGAGGGGGGGGTGTTTTACCCACCGAGCACGACCTCCACGGAGCAGTGGAACCAGTCGGCCACCTTGAGCGGCGAGAAGAAGTGGTTGGTGGCGCCGTTGGGGTGCTCCACCGTGGTGCAGCAGCCGCGCCACTTGCTGATGGTGGCCTCGTCGAAGAGGCGCAGGCTGAGCCACGAGTGGCACGGCGCCGAGCAGCGCATGTCGAGCGTCACGGGCTGGTTGCGGTCGTGCAGCTTGAGCGCGGGGACGAGCAACGTGAAGTCCATGTCGTAGTCTGCGCCGCGCGCAAAGTCGCCCAGCTGCTCCACGTCCATGTCCACGACGCCCTCGCGCACGCTGCCCGACAGCAGCAGGTACTCGTTGGCGACGGGCAGCTTGCCGTCCAGCTTCTGCACCATGCCTGCGCCGGGGCGCGGAGAATCGCGGGGGTGGTGGTACGGCGCAGCCGGGGTCGGTCGGGGGGGGGGGGGAGGACGCGGGTGAATCGACAGCAAGACGCTCGGAGGGGGTTTACGGCCGCAACTGCGGCGAGACGCACACTCGACGTCAACGACACGTCACATCGGGCGACGTACACGTACGCGGTGTACGAGGCGCCGCAGTTCAAACAAAGGTGCAAGCACTTTAAATACCGCCCCCTGCGCCGCCTCTGTCCACGCAGCAGCGTAAATGGGTACACCGCAGTTAAGTCGATTGGCAGGTCGTGTGTGGTGGGGTCAAGTGTGGTTACCTCTGATCTCTTCCAAGACGTCTGGCCAGCGTGGAAGAGCAGACTAAATACCTCTATAGGGGGCTCTCTAGAGCTCTCTAGAGAGCCCCCTATAGAGTGTATGTCCTTTTGCCAGCATTGGTATGGGCAAGCAATTGCAGGGATGCTGCACCTTTTACACTCACTAAATTCTTTAGACACAGGGGTCGACTATTTTCATCATAAGAAAAAAAAAATCGAAAAAATGCTGAGAGACACCCAAAATTTTTGTTCCAACATTCATCGACTCGCTCACTGTAAGAGAGGACCGAGCCTTGTTGGCGACTTCTGGAGGGAACGTCGTAGTCGTCGCGCTTGCACACGTCCGCTCGCCCGCCCGCCCGTCCGCTCGTCCACTCACCCAGCATGGAAAAGATGAAGTCCTTGGCCGTGTGAATCTCGAGGGCGCGCTGATCGTCGTACTCGCGCTGGTCGTGCTTGTTGAACTCGTGGATGAGCCTCTCGATGTCCTGCAGCCGTGCCGACGACCGGAAGTCGAAGCCCAGCGACTTCGCCGCCGAGCCACCGCCGCCTCCTCCTCCGCCGCCGCCCGCCGCGGGAGCACGCTCAGCGCCGGACGCCATCTCCGCCGCGCCTCCCCCCACCGCCTCCTCCCCGGTTGCGCCGAACGCGCGCTCCCCTCGCCGGGAGAGCGGCGGCGGTGGTGGTGGTGGTGGTGACGGTGGTCGGCAGTCACGGGCGAATCAGGACAGGGCTCCCTACGGGCACAGATGTTGGCGCGGCACCGGGCGACGGCCTGTGAGTAGTTGACCCCGAGTGCGGCCGATCTCGTCGGGGTGCGTGGCAGCCACGCGGGGTTGGGAGCCTGGATGCCGTCAGGATAGGCGACCACCAGGGCGTAATTTCAGCAGGGTCTGCATATGATCGAACGGTCGCAAGAGCAGGATTGTTTACAGGTATCGTTATCACGTCAACCGAGTCAACCTTCGCTTGGCGAGAGGTCGCTACTTCTCTGCTGCTGCTCCCGTGGCAGTGATTGGTACCCACAACCACCGCAATCACACAGTCACTGGTACACACTAACACTGGCATCCCAGTCACTCATACTATGACAGGCCTAAGTTACCAGTACTCACTAACGCTGGTATCACACTCACCGGTATTCACGATAACTGGTGTAAGTTACCACTACTCACTACCACTGGCAGCACACACTCACTGGTGCTCACTAACTCTGCGATCTCTTTAACACGTTCCCACTAACAGTGACGGCGGTACTGCTGGTGGTTCAAGCTTTCGTGGTGTGGCCGTGGCCGTGAGACCTTGCTGTGGACACGGGAGGTCGCCAGCCATTCCACATCCGTGGGGCGCCCAGAGACCACACTCACCTCCACCGGCGCACATGAAGGAGATCAAAGTCCTACTCGCACTGTATGTGACTCACACACACACACACGGGGGCGTATTGACGCATCGATCGATGTCGACGCCGGCGTCAAACTGTGTGTGCAAGAATCGACTTCTTTCAACGTTACTTGACATGGAATGGATGTTCAGATGGTTGTTGTATATGTCGGTCCACGCAAACTCTCACGGATAGCAGTGCACCATCCTGTCTCATATAATGGCCCTGAAGGTCACTTTCAAATATGGATCTGTATCTGCACTAATGACACTTTTTATAATCCCTCGAAAGTGTTCATCGCAGGAAAATTAAACCAAAATAATTGTCATAATAATTACTTTAAAAAGAAAATATTCCACCCTGATCAATCGACTGCTGGATGAAGGCCTCCCCCCTTATCTGCCACGCTCCCTCGCGTTCCTGTGATGTGATATTTTTCTGTCTTTTCTTGGATTTTCTGTTTGCACATAGTCACTTTAAGATGTTTTCTTGTTCATGTTTTTGTTTTCTGTTTGTTGCGGTTGCACCCGATTCAAGAGCCGAATGGCTCACAGGGCTATATCTAATAAACGAACTTGGAACTTGAACAAGCCTCCATCTAGCTTCTGCACGTTCTGACGTCCTAACTTCACCTCTGTAGTTGGAGAAATATGATGGGGGGGGGGGGGTTGCGTGCAATTATTGGTGCCTGGGCTCAAGATGAAGAACTTGCTGCACTTGAGAACTTGGTTGTAATCGTCACGGGTGGCTGACACCCGAATTTCAAGCCGGGGCTCTCACCACAAAGTCAAGGCCAACTCACACATACCCCAAGCTTATCTTCATGTTAATAAATCACAGCCATTGACCACGCGTATCAAGTGAGCCTGCAAAGCTGGGAGTATGCAAACTCAAGAACTCAGCAGCTTATTAACAAGTGCACGACATATACCGGCTTCATATTCTTGGTTCTTTCGGTAAAGTCACGTAGAAGGGAAATAATAAAATAATAAAAAATATTAAACACATTTTTTTCGTTTATTTCTTTATTATTTCCTTTCTACGTGACTTTACCGAAAATGTGTTGAACTTCTTTCGCACGGTACCGTAAGCCAACCCTGCTTATCGTAGTAGTGGTGGTGGTGGTAGTGGTGGTGGTAGTGGGGGTAGTGGTAGGGGTGGTGATAGTGGTGGTGGTGGTGGGGGTGGTGGTGGGGGTGGTAGGGGTGGTGGTGGTGATGGTGGTAGTGGTGTAAGTGGTGGTAGTAGTGGTGGTGGTGGTAGGGGTGGTGGTAGTAGTGGTGGTGGTAGTGGTGGTAGTGGTGGTGGGGGTAGTGGTGGTGGAAGTGGGGGTGGTGGTGTAAGTGGTGGTGGTGGTAGTAGTGGTGGAAGTGGTGGTAGTGGTGGTGGTAGTAGTAGTGGTGGTGGTGGTAGTAGTGGTAGTAGTGGTGGTGGTAGTGGTGGTAGTGGTAGTAAATCACCGTCTCATCAAGGCGCCCTCAGACGCCGCGGGTGAAGCCTCTCGCACCGATCCGGACCCAATTCGGACCCAAGTGAACCTCCCCACCACCACCACCTCCCCACCACCTCCACCCCACCACGATTCTGATACCGGTCCCAGAGTCCAGCTTGCTACAAACGATGAAGCCTCAGTCTCAGTCTCCCCTATCAGGCTGTCTGCCGGGTCGTGAATCGCCAATAAGCGCCGTGGTGTCGAACTCCCGGTTCCTCGTTCGATGTCTGGTTCTGATCTCTAAGTTCAGCTGCTGGTTCCCACTTCTCTCTGCATCTGATCCTCGTCGCTAAGCGTTGATGTCTGGCGCCTTGTCTGGTCGCGGTCGTAATCTCTGATCCTTGTGCCGGTCGGGTCCCCCCGTGGTAACCTCTTGGTCTCGGTTCCAAAATCTCGGTGGTAACCTCTGGCGCTGGGGCTTTGAGTCCTGGTCTCGGGTCAAACTCTTGATCTCTCTTCTCTCTCGTCCGGTCGGGCGACTCCTGGTCTCTCTGGTCTCGTTCTCTGGTCTCAGTGTTGAACTCTGGCCCTGGCCCTGGTCTCAGTGTTGATCTCTGGGCCTGGTCTCTGTGTTGGTCTCAGTGTTGGTCTCAGTGTTGAACTCTGGGCCTGGTCTATGGCTCTGGTCCTGGTCTCAGTGTTGATCTCTGGGCCTGGTCTCTGTGTTGGTCTCTGTGTTGGTCTCAGTGTTGAACTCTGGGCCTAGTCTATGGCCCTGGTCTCAGTGTTGATCTCTGGGCCTGGTCTCTGTGTTGGTCTCAGTGTTGGTCTCAGTGTTGAACTCTGGGCCTGGTCTATGGCTCTGGTCCTGGTCTCAGTGTTGATCTCTGGGCCTGGTCTCTGTGTTGGTCTCTGTGTTGGTCTCAGTGTTGAACTCTGGGCCTAGTCTATGGCCCTGGTCTCAGTGTTGATCTCTGGGCCTGGTCTCTGTGTTGGTCTCTGGCCCAGGTCTCGGTGTTGATCTCTGGCCCTGGTCTCAGTGTTGATCTCTGGCCCTGGTCTCAGTGATGATCTCTGGCCCTGGTCTCTGTGTTGATCACTGGCTCTGGTCTCTGTGTTGGTCTGTGTTGATCTCTGGCCCTGGTCTCTGTGTTGATCTCTGGTCCCAGGTCCCTGTGATGATCTCTGGCCCTGGTCCCTGGCCTCTTGGTCCGCGGGTCTCCGCTGAGAATCCGCGAACTGCGCCCAGCTCCAACAGGGCCGAGCTCGGGGACCGCGGCGAATTACGCACCCGCAGCTCAGGGGTGGGAGGGGACAACCAAACAGACTGCAGCCTCAGGGACCGCGGCAAACTGCACACGACTACTTGTGTGACCCGTCGAGACTTGGATGTTATTTTAATTGACCCGGAAAGCCGATCGTTTTAGGGATTAAAACTATTCAAACGTCTTTTAACTTAACACCCAGGGGTTTTGAAGCCAATATTACGATTGATAATTCTATAGTCGGCTTTCACCACTAATTGTGACTCATTACGTTATCAAATTTAAAAATACGTCTGGGTATTGGCCACTTAATTTCGGATGGAGGAGAGTTTCGTGACAAAGCAATGTGTCCAGATCGTCATTTGGCTTGACCCAAAGCAATCGAGAATTACAAATTGTATTTATATGCAGAGATACAGTCTGCACTGGCTTACATCAAAAGTTGTATGCAACATTTCCTCCAGGGAACGGATTTAAAATGGAAAGTGATGCTCATTGGGTCATCCCCAGATTTTTTAAAGGGCGATTGCTCGAAACGTCGTGGGCCTGACTGCTGATGAGACTCAACGTTTAGTAGTAGTCGTCTCCGCTGTGGATGCCATGCTGCCGTGAACAGGATACAATTTGTAACGGAATTTCTGTTTCTGGTAGATGGAAATAGAGGAGGCAACAGTCATTGTGGAAGGGAAATTGCCCGAAACGTCGCCCGGTATGGTTTGTGTTCCCCTATTAAGGCTCCACACACTAAATTTCGATTTAAAGCTTTCGTGACTGCAGGGATTCATCTTCTTGGTTCTTTCGGTAAAGTCACGTAGAATGGAAATAATAAAATAACAAAAAAATTCTCACGACGTTTCGGCCACAACGCAAGCAGCCGTCCTCAGGTGGAGAGCAGGTCTGTCGAGTAGACAGAGTGTGAATGACACACTCCAGGCTTGGACACACTTCTATTGACGGAATGTGTGGTGAGTTCTCACGTAAACCCTTCAGTCCACACGAGGGCGCAATATGGACAGTCGTGATCACTTCATTTCAATAATATCACCACCACCGGCCTCACATCTGGGAGCGTGTTCTTCGTATGGCTAATACTCTTTCTTTCGGTAAAGTCACGTAGGTTAAAAAAGAAAACAAAGCAAAATGACTGTATCAGTAATTTGTATCAGTAATTTAGCTGTGACGGTTCCACCTGAAGACGGAAGCTTGTATTGCCTCCGAAACGTCGTGATTTAATTTGTTTTCTTCTTTAACCTACGTGACTTTACCCAAAAAAACAGAGTATGGATCCTTGCAGTCACGAAAACTTCAAATCTAGGATCGTATGGCTAATGTTGATGTCGTGCAAAGTGTTCTCTTCACTACTTTCCAGAGCGGGGCCCACCTTTGGTCGATAAGACATCACCGGTATGAGGGCCCCCCACACATTTGAAACCATTGGAGGTTTGTCGGGGGCTGTACGTCAGGGGCCTTGCAATGAAGAACGCCGATGTAGAGCAACAGCTGTTAATAATGATAATACTCTTTGGGTTTTTCGGTAAAGTCACGTAGATAGAAAAATATTTTTTAATAAAATCACGACGTTTCGATCGCAGCACGAGAAATCGTCTTCAGGTGAAAAAAATACAGCAGGCGGACTGCAGGAAAGACCAAAAGAGTATGAATTCCTGCAGTCACGAAAACTTTAAGTCAAGATTTAACAGCTGTAATGGTATACACCGCCACAGTTTCTCGTTGCCTGCCCAAGGTCACGTATCTCTCTCGAACTTGCGTGTGTTCTCTACTGCACGTGATCATCTTCACACCACGCCTCCGATTATCACGGATGGCTACGTACGGTGCGAAAGAAGGTCAACATACAATGCGGTGTAATTCTAAGCGTGCGCCTCTCAATGGATCTTTGCGCACTTTTCAGCTTTTGTTCTGCTTTCTTTGTCGGCGGCCCGTGTTTCCATGACCAGAATTACCCGGAATGTACCCGAACTCGTCTGATTCTCCGAAGCTAAGCAGGGTGGAGCCTGGGTCGTGCAGCTTTGGCACTCCGACTGATGTAGACTCTACACACATTAACTGGCAGAAAACGTTTGAAAAGCCCTGCTGAAAAATAATCCTTGGGTTTAGTACGGCTTCAGCAACCCTCAGTAACCAGCGTGGCTAGATTTAAATTACTGAAAGAACCAAGAATAAGTCTACATTATAGACTTCCAGTACGCTCACTCAGGTTAAGAACCAGGCTACAGTCTACATTATAGACTGTCAGTACACTCACTCAGTTTAATAACCATTGTTACAGTCTACATCATAGACTGCCAATATGCTCACCAGCTTAAAAAACATGCTACAGTCTACATTATAGACTGCCAGTACACTCACCCAGCTTCGAAAACAGGCTACAGTCTACATTATAGACTGCCAGTACACTCACCAAACTTAATAACTAGGCTACAGTCTATATTAGTGTTTTATTTTATCTATATCATTATTTTTCTACGTGACTTTACCGAAAGAACCAAATAATATGAATTCCTGCACGAAAGTTTTAAGTCAAAATTTAACCCCCCACCACAATGACATCCAGCGGTGGATTAACAAAGGGATGCAAAACTCGCACATGTCCGTGTGTCTGACTGGAGTGACATCGATCAATCTATCGATCCACGTGTGAAGAGACGGCAGCTGCCGAAGCTAAGATCTTCAAGCAACAACCCCCCCTATCTTCTTGGTTCTTTCGGTAAAGTCACGTAGAATGGAAATAATAAAATAAAAAAATACAACATTTTATAATGTTTTATTTTTATTTCCATTCTACGTGACTTTACCGAAAGAACCAAGAAGATGAATCCCTGCAGTCACGAAAGCTTTAAATCGAAACAACCCCCGAATCACCACCATCATCATCATCCAAGCTCCTCCACGCAGCATCCACGTGTCAACTCGCACGGGGCGGGGCCAACGGGACGGGGCGAGGCCCCCCGCCCCCACCAGAAAACCACGCGTTCCGATTGGCCGCCCCAACGCGAATCCGGATGTAGGCGGGGCCTGTTCATGGAGGGCGTGGCCTAGCCCGCGATGGGCGTGGCCTAGCCCGCCATAGGCGTGGCCTAGCCCGCCATGGGCGTGACCTAGCTTGCAATGGGCGTGGTCTAGCCCGCAATGGGCGTGGCATAGCCCGCGATGGGCGTGGCCTAGCCTGCAAATGGGCGTGGCCTAGCCTGCAAATGGGCGTGGCCTAGCCTGCAAATGGGCGTGGCCTAGCCTGCAAATGGGCGTGGCTTAGCACCGCGCATCTCATGACGAGGTCTGCGACGTCACAGCGTCTAGATGCGAGGAGAGTCGCAGCAGCAGCAGCGACAGCCGCAGAAGGAGCAGGAAGACGAAGCAGGAAGACGAAGGGGAGGAGAACGGGGAGACGACGAAGAACAACAACAACGAGGAGCCACAAAGATGTGCGACGCCACGGATATCGATCAGCGCCCACACGAGCGCTGGGCTCCGCTGGGCGCTGCGAGCAACAGCGGCGACCTGAAGGAGGAGACGTCGTCGGCTCCGGCTCTGGCTCCGAGCCGCGAGTCGGGAGAGCAGCAGCAACAGCAGCAGGATGAGCTGCAGCGCATGGAGGAGGAGCAGGAGCAGCTGAACGCGTCGCTGCTGGCGCTCACGTCGCACTTTGCGCAGGTGCAGTTCCGCCTGCGTCAGGTGGTGCGCGCCGACGCGGCGGAACGCGAGCGGCTGCTGCGAGAACTCGACGACTTCGCCTTCAGAGGGTGCCCGGACGTGAGGGCGTGCGGCCGGCGGGCCCACGACGCACAGCTGCAGCACGACACGGTGAGCACTTGGGGGGGTGGTGGGGGGCTTTGTTGGGGGGCTTTGAGTGTGCGGCTCCTTGAGGATTCACGAGTGAAAATAAGCCCCCACTCGCTCGTGCGCGCGGCGTGGATATGACGCGCCGTGTTGATGTCGCGTCTCATCGGCCAAAGTGGGGGACCCCCCCCCCCCCTTCTCTGGAACGTGGGGAGAGGTGTGTGGAGCGTGGGGAGAGGTGTGTGGGACGTGGGGAGAGGTGCGTGGGACGTGGGGAGGGGTGTGTGGAGCGTGGGGAGAGGTGTGTGGAGCGTGGGGAGGGGTGTGTGGAGCGTGGGGAGAGGTGTGTGGGACGTGCGGAGAGGTGTGTGGGGTGTGGGGAGAGGTGTGTGGGGCGTGGGGAGAGGTGTGTGGGACGTGGGGAGAGGTGTGTGGAGCGTGGGGAGAGGTGTGTGGAGCGTGGGGAGAGGTGTGTGGGGTGTGGGGAGAGGTGTGTGGGACGTGGGGAGAGGTGTGTGGGACGTGGGGAGAGGTGTGGGGAGAGGTGTGTGGGACGTGGGGAGAGGTGTGTGGAGCGTGGGGAGAGGTGCGTGGGACGTGGGGAGAGGTGTGTGGGACGTGGGGAGAGGTGTGTGGGACGTGGGGAGAGGTGCGTGGGACGTGGGTAGAGGTGTGTGGAGCGTGGGGAGAGGTGCGTGGACGTGGGGAGAGGTGTGTGGGGTGTGGGGAGAGGTGTGTGGAGCGTGGGGAGAGGTGCGTGGGGCGTGGGGAGAGGTGTGTGGGGTGTGGGGAGAGGTGTGTGAAGCGTGGGGAGAGGTGTGTGGGGTGTGGGGAGAGGTGTGTGGAGCGTGGGGAGAGGTGCGTGGGGCGTGGGGAGAGGTGTGTGGGGTGTGGGGAGAGGTGTGTGGAGCGTGGGGAGAGGTGTGTGGGACGTGGGGAGAGGTGTGTGGGGGGTGGGGAGAGGTGTGTGGGGCGTGGGGAGAGGTGTGTGGGGTGTGGGGAGAGGTGTGTGGAGCGTGGGGAGAGGTCCGTGGGGCGTGGGGAGAGGTGTGTGGGGTGTGGGGAGAGGTGTGTGGAGCGTGGGGAGAGGTGCGTGGGGCGTGGGGAGAGGTGTGTGGAGCGTGGGGAGAGGTGTGTGGGACGTGGGGAGAGGTGTGTGGTGTGTGGGGAGAGGTGTGTGGAGCGTGGGGAGAGGTGTGTGG